ACATGACGAGTGTCGTCGATGAATCATAAGACGATTACTCTTTATGGTCTTATTCTTGTAATTTTTCAAGGGTTTTCATTTACACAATTCCTTTTTTCATATTTTGCCCTAATTATACTGATTTTGAATTATAAGTATGGTTTTGTTGACTCTTCTGTATTCTCTTGTTGTTTTTTTTAAATCATATTCTGGACTATATTTCACATATTAGAAAGTCTTTGTGTTTACAGTATATAGCCTGAATAGTCCGCTTACATTTGTTTGCGCTAGTTACACGGCATGTGCTATATAAATGATTGAAATATAATTGTCGTTTTAGTCTGGGACTTTTAAAATCATGCTTTTTGTTTTGCTTCCTTCATTTGAAAGCTAAAAGATTTGAAAGCGATCAAACTTGAACTGCAGATATATCATTTCGCCTTTAAAGACGAGACACAGGATAATAATGCTTTAAGATATAGACAATCTGAGAGATCCGTCTTCAACCTTGACAGGACGCTTGTCTTGTCTATTTCAGGGGATGTGTTTTGTTTAAATTACGTGAGGCCTCGTGCATTTAATAAAATCGCTTCATGCATCCAAGTGCAAACATGTTCTAGCGACGGTCTCCCTTTTCCGACACTAGTCGTCAGTCGCAAATAGATAAATGAATATAACAAAGTGGTGCTACTAGAAAATTTACCTTACAAAATTCTAAGAGTAACAAGCATTATCATGTTATTTTAAAAACCCAAATAACATGAAATGAATTTTGTGAGTCATTTTCCCTTTTAAACCAACCCTTACTTTAAGCATGAAACTTGCTTCTTTGAAATTATATTACTATTTTAATCGGTCTTGTATAAGCGCACTCATGTTTCGTACTTATGTGACCATTTTTAGGATAGTTCAACACTACACCTATAACAAGCAGGACTACATGGTTTTTTTTTATAGTTATCACAATTTGATGACTTTGATTAAGCACGAAAAGCTCTTTAAAAGTATAACCGCTAAATTGAATACATTATAATACATTATAATATTATTATATACTAATGATGAAAATAGTGTAATTTCATGTACTGTTAATTATTTCTAGTTTATACGTGTGTGTTCCTCTGTTTTTCCCATTTTGAAACGTCAAATACATAGAAAGAGACATATAGTTCACTCAGCTTTGTTGAGTACTCGTGTACCGGTCTATAAGTTTACAGATGAGTGCATTATTTTTGGTTTGCTACTAAGCTTACTTTATAGATGATTTAATCAGACAATCTTTAATATCGTGTACAATTACATCAATTATCCTGCATATGCTATTTCAAACCGCTTACAAATATTATTTATCAAGTCTGGACATTTTAAATCCTTTAGCAAATGAGGACAACTTCAATTCGTAACCAATTTTGACTCACACACTTCGGTTATCGTGAAACTGCATATGCCCATACCAATAGTCCACAAAATAATCAAAGGGTTTCGACCAGTCTTGATGAATTATTAAACTATGCAAGCATTATAGTGTTATGACACCGGAATATCTAAAACAATGAAAAATAGGAAGGTATAATTCATACTCTGGATTAATCAAAACGAAACGAAGTTTAATCAGAGGCATTCTTAGAATAATCGCATTTTTGAAATTTTAACCAAAAATCAGATATGCCTATACTATGTACTGTATATATACACACAGTATTTAGGCAATAGATTAAACATCCATTGGAATGACCCAGCATAGAAGAAGAAAAAACACCATTATAAAAAACGTGACAAGACGGATAGGTTGGTTTAGCTTCTTTGTCAATTAAAATGGACCCTTCCCGGTTATTTTAAATCTTGTTGCATTTTAAATAGTAATACTGTAATGCCAATTTTATGATTTATGATAGCATCTGTGTTTTTCAAATATACCATGATTTAATCAAGTGTACAGGTAAAATCATCATGCGGCCATTCAAACGCCGATTCGAGAAAAATAGTACATATTGATTTGATATGAAAGCATTCCTTGTTGACGTTGTATGTCTAAATTGTCTGAAGAACCCAATATGGGCGAAAGTACAAGCTATTGTATAAAGGTCTTGGGAGTGTGACAGCTTCTAGTTTTACGTAGGTCGTTTTTTTCTATACTATGTGTAACTCAGATATCATTATCATGATAAGTTATCGTCTGAAGATGGCCACAAGAGTTGAAAACATTGACTATTATCAACTGTATTTGCCTTCTTAATTTTTTTTCATCTACATATATAACTGAAAATCCTTAACGAAGACGTGATAACCCATAAATAAATTCTAGACAATTCGTCTTCAGTACTTTCATCTCAACTAAAGGATTCATCATAGTATTGACACCAGTGTATACGATAGAAAAACATGACGCAAATCGTACGTGTTAGATTTAATGTGAGGCTATTAAGTAAATTCTTAGTCCAAGGAGGTCTCAAATGTTCAACTCACAAAACATACTATTTAATTACAAAAGGGAAACTCATGCCATTTAAAAGTAGGCGTAAAAACGAACATATTTATTAATTCATACAACATAAACCGAGTTGAAAGATATAAACGTAGAAAATTTAAACCTTTTGTAGAAAGGTTGACCATTAGCATGAATCCAATAGTCATCGTATTTTTCGGGTTGGTAGTTATACAATAATTATCCGTAATGAAATATTTCTAATTTTAAAACTATTCAAAGTCTTTTCTCAGATTTTCCTTCAAGTGTTAGAAAATAAAATGTGTGTAACCAACCATTAAAAAACAATTAGACAAATAAAGCATACAACGGTAATAGTAAGAGCAAGTATATCAAAGAACACACACGGATAACAAAGGATTAAAACAAAATATAAAACAAAAAACAACTTAATCCCAGGAGGTAGAACGTGTTACCCAAAAATGTTAGCATTTCCTGTGCTACGCTAGGTTATATCCTGTCAAAACTAGAAAAAGGTCACCAAAGACCTTCAAAACAGTCTGTCAAATACCTTAAATCACGACAGCATATAATACCGTACCTTTCAAAAAGTGTATTATTTAATTTCACAAAAAAATGGATTTTACGTGCATAATTATGACAAAAGTTTATGACTCCAAAACATGTAAGAGAATAATACTTAAGTCGGATTCTAATGCACAAATCACATAATTTGTATACAATATTAACAAAGTACCAGTCACATAAAACAGTAAAAAATATAAGCTTGATCTAAGGTAAATTTTCAAAGCATATAAAAACAGAGATTCACTTTTCAAAACGGAGCAAAAATGAACGGAGTAAGTTGAATCAGAAAAAAAGAAACCATTGTCCATATGATTACTTCATAGTCAAAATCGATCATTTTCAATTATGCAGTCAATGAATGCTGCGTATGTTAAGAATCGAGTAGGTCTACCTCCTGTAGTAATTATCAATACTACATTAAAGAGAAATATCACGTAAGGATCCCTGTCCTATTGCATTGTGTTTTTGTATATTCCCAAGGATTTAGTTTTTGATGTTACTGAAGAATAATTGGGCAACACACTTCAGTTGACCGGGTAGCTCAGTCGGTTTAGGCGAAAGCATAACAACCTGATGTTTCGGCTTTGATTCCCCTGTCTAGCCCTGCTTAACTGTTTACATCCAGAACACTACTGTTGGTTATACTTCGTTTAGTTCATCGCTATTATTCTTTTCATAAAAATCCCGCAAGGCATTGTTTCTTTCAGGAATGATTAATTGAAGGTATGGTTATGAAAACCAAGACAGTTTTCAATGCGTAGTGAAAGTTTTTGGCAGTAGTACGGGAATCCTTAAACATTTTGAAATCCATTATTATTATGTAAAGACAACAAATATAGTTTAGCTTTGCATAATTCTAATGCTTAAAAAATAATAGCGTCCAATGCTATTGTACGAATATTTGTACTAATGCGTAATTTTACTACTAATACTGTATAGCGGGAGATTGTCGTTCCAGTTAAAGGGGCTGGTCGGGGAAAAAATGGCATATTTGCTAAAATGGAATACAAATGTTTAAAATACCTTCTTATGAAATATACCGATACAAATTTTGCTGAAATTCACTCCCTAAGAGTAAAAATTATAAGTATATTAAAGAAATCCTAAATCGTCACCTGACAGTCTAAAACTCTCAATTGACCCAGATCAGTGATGTAATTTTACCGTACGCGCGTCATCAACAAGGCCAAATGTAAACATCGCGCATTTAGAACCATTTATTTTGTACTTTTTCCCCTGACCATCCCCCTTAAATTTTCGCCTTTTTCGCCAGCCGTGATCAGGATGAATTTATCATTACAAATACATGTTAACAACATAATATAGATAGGGCGAATTAACACTGGGCGTAAATTGATTTTATAGGCGAAAGGCAAAAGTTTGACTGCGAAAATGTCCCCGATATAAAGTACTACTACTGAACGAATATAGACAAAACGTTTCATTTGACAATGCGTAATTCTAATACTAATAAAATAATAGCCTCGACTACTATTAAACGAATATATATACACATAACATGTAAGTAGGCATACTTCTAATTAAATGTATCAGAATGAAATGATAATGCTGATTATCGCTTATAAGGTACAGACATCATATACAATTTACCTATGCACATTTTTTAGTACTTATTTGAAAGTTTTTGTAGGTAATTACGATGCTGTAAAGAACAGCGTCCGTAACCAATGTGCAACACAAACAACATATAAGTTGTAATACATACATAAGTTATGTGGTATGCTTATATATATATATATATATATATATATATAGAAAAAATAAGATTAACGACCGACTAAAAAACTAGCTGCTTTCACCCTTCACAGGGCTCTTCAGGTTTATTCAAAAGAACCTGAATATTCTTTTGAATAAACCTGAAGAGCCCTGTGAAGGGTGAGAGCAGCTAGTTTATTAGTCGGTCGTTAATCTTATTTTTTCTATATTTACTTCATTCACATGGACATTTAATCCCTTTTTATTATATATATATATATTGTCTTTGCAGGAAACTTCAACACTGTAAAAATTCTAGCGTCTATTACAATTGGAGTTCTGCCCATCACCTTTCTCCTGTATTTAATGTACGTGGCCACGAAGAACGTCCGAAAGAGAGGAGTTGCTTTGACAATAATTACACTATGTTTTGTTGGAGGTATGTGCATCCTTTTTAAATTAATTCTAATCAAATGGTGTGTTTTCTATTTTTACAATTCGTATATATTAGAATAAATTAAGAGCCTAACGGAATATCTGCTATATATCGAAAGTCGAAATCCTCCGATAATTTCAATAGAAAAATATAAATAATGTGTTTTTATGTTTCAATGCTAAGAATATGCTTATGAGGATGGCCTTATTTCTATATGTGTTGATGGTTGAGTTGATTAATGAATCTTACGCAATTTTTAGTAGGGGGATAGTTTTTTATCCTGCAATCCTTACAATCTAATAACTATTTCTGCAACGTTCCCCATGTATGAACCAACTCAGAGATATTTATCCTGCAATCCGTACAATCTAATAACTATTTCTACAACGTTCCCCATGAATGAACCAACTCAAGAGATACTGACATTATAATTAATGGTGTAATAAACGTTGTTGATTTTAATAGGATTTGGTTATGAAGTACGGAAGGAATTCTTAATGTAAAATGCTTAACGTTATTTATGTTTATACCTATTTTACATGACTCTAATAGTGAACATCAATTCTGAAACATGTCACTGGATGTTGTTTTTAAGTTATACATTATTTTGTTTAAATTAACGCATGTTCTTTTCATGTTTTTCAGCTATAATATCATTGATCATGATGATTATATGGTTCGTCCAGTTGCCTAGCAACTTCTTCGTCTCTTGGTCTTTCGGATTGGCCGTATTCGCAGGATTGCTTCTCTTAGTTGTTGCAGCTTTTCTGCTGATGCATGACATGAAAAACTTTAAAGACAAATCTTTAGAGCCTGACAAAAAGAACAGAGTCACTCCGCCACCGGTTCCAGTTCGAGTTATGGACACTCCGTCAGTACCACCGTTTACACCGGATTGGGACAGACGGACAGTCACACCTACCCCTCCCCCTAGACGATCTCGTTCGCCTATCCGGTCGGTAGTGTCTCCCTCGGCGGTACGTGTGACGTCACGCTCCGTCATGTCTGTCAATACGTCAGTTTCATCTACGAGACGCTACGGCACGCCTAAATATGCATCTCGCTATGATCACAGAGCTAGATGAGCACCCGGTACATTTGATAGTTATTTATTTAGACTCTTATGAAGATGTGTTTTTATTTCTACACACACCAGACTGTTTGAATAGCAAAGACTCCCAAAGTCATTCTACTTCCAATCAGATGTACTGGTCAATGCACATAATAATATTTTCTACACAGCTTTTGGAACTCTTCAGTCGTGGAATTTCGACATTAATCCTTTCACCACTGTAGACCATAATGGACTCATCCAGATCAATGTATGGTAGAGTCTAGAAAAGTTACATAGGGGTGAAAGGGTTCATGGATAAAATGCCGTGTGTAGTAGTGAAATGGTTACCTTTGTTTGATCTCAAAATTTCTATGGGACTTCCTTACTGCGTATTTTAGTGATTATTTGAAAGATATCACGAAAGACCAAAAAGGTCATGATGGCAACGCTCCTGTTGATTACGTTTCTGGAAACAAGAACAATGACGATCTACATGATAGCCGACAAGCTTGGAACTTATTCTGCAAAACGGAAATGTGTTGCTCTTTTCCCTTTTAATACCAGTTACTTTTAAAATGCATAAGGGCAAACATTCGGTGGAGCAGCAACAGTACAATTTACAAGTGTTGTTTGTTATATCCATCAACACCAAAGCAAACCAGAATAATATTTCGTAAGGGTTTGACATGTAGGGCTAGCGTTTCTACCATCTACAGAATCTGGCATTTGACTATGTAATTTCAACGAACACCTTATAGTCTTCATTACCTGCTATTTTGATATGCATTAGTTCTTTCCAAACCCCTAAATATGTTTAATAAACGTTGTTTGGATGCCATTGATAATCATAAAGCAAGTTTACGGTGAATATGTAGAATTTGACACCTACAGACCTACTTAAGTGGCTAGAGGATAGACTCTTAGCGTGAAGTATGGCTTTCTATACCCCCCAAAAAATGATATTTGATATTCAAAAGACCAAATACTTATCAATCATCAAATTCAGACTTCAGATAGAAATTTAATCACCACAATGAAATAGTCATTGAAGGAAAAATCGTTAAATGATTAAATGATAAAACCTTTATTATATATATTTATTTGAAACTGTGTATATGAAAATATTATAAAACACCATACTGTGTGTGTTACGAACATCTCTCATGCGATCAATCATGCTACGTAGTTAAACTTGTAGTCGAACCAGTCGTGACTACCTCCATTGAGAGACCACCTGTGTCAAGCGGCTCTCAATGTTCTCCATTATAGTTATTTCCTAAGTGAATTGAACCTGTATTAAGAGACCACCTGCATTAAGAGACAACGTTCTGACATTCCCTGGGGTGACTACTTCCAGTGAGAGACCAGCTGTGTCAAGCAGTTTTCAGTATTCTCAGTTATAGCAATTCCTCTGTGAATTGAACCTGTATTAAGAGACCACCTGCATTAAGAGACCACCTTCTGAAATTCCCTTGGATTACTTCTCTCAATGAGAGACCACCTGTTATATGAGCCTTCCAATGGTCTATATGAAAGTATTCATGGTAAATAGAGCCTGTACCAAGAGACTTGTATCTGGGATTATCTAGGGGGATCTTTTAATAACACGCTTGACTGTACTTGTGTACTTCCATCTATTATTGAATTAACGTTTTATGGTTTGGCCATGAGATGGGTACCATTTTATTATCATTATACATACATGAATTAAACATGTAGAATGATGATTAAAAAATATACAATACAATAGTCTAGAATTATGTTTTTTATACATGATATAGTGTAATGGTAAGGGCAGAGCACATGGTCTGACAAACATATCGCCCTAAATAGAGGTAGATCACAGTATCAATCTAAACACATATTATTAATGCCTCTGATCCACTACAACTTTGGCAAAATATAAGTCAAAACTTAATACAGTCGGTATTATTAACATATTTTTTCGTCCATAAACTACTTAAAAGAAATTTGAATTTCTGATTTGACATGTATATATATCATGCGGGTACAGTGCTAACAGACACATTTAAATCGAACCAAAGTACTCAGTCAATGTATTTTTTAAAACTTTATGATCTACATAGCTGTCATATATTTAGTATGACAGTATATTCTATAGAGCAGGGCACATAAAAGAGGACATTTAATTAACAAAATCAGCGAAACGTTTCAAAATATTTATTGGTGTCATCGTGACATTTCTAATCATATTGAAATTGTGCTTATAGGTAGGAATGGTTATAGTCCATTATCAGTGAAACGGAAGGGACTTATACTGACAAATTAAATAATTCAGCATCCTGTTAAAAGCATGTATTACCGAACCGTCTGAATTATAGCTGCAATCAATAAACAGGAAACGTATTGAGATAATTGTCGTAGAAATGTGCCAGCAAACGGCAATGAGATATGTATAATGAAAATTGGCCAATTTGTAGACTATTGAATTCAAATGCTTAAGGAACCTAGGCATGACACGAAATTAACTAATCATTGGAAACTTGTTTTTTTCAAGCATGACCATAACTTTCATAAATCATTTCTGAAAAGAACAGCATACCTTGCGGGACTTTTATGAAACTTTTCTGAGTGTAAAATAGTCAGCGGGGCAAACTGGGATTCCAACCCTTGACTTCTGGCCCATGTTGTTCAAAGGTTGGTAAGACTTAGCCAGTGGTTAGGGGGGGGGGGGGGGGTTAAAATAGGAATACAACAAGAGGCCCAAGGGCCTTAGCGGTCACCTGAGTTATATCATAGATACTGGTAGCTTTATTTTATTGTTTAGATGTGATGTGGAAATCAGCATGTAAACTAAGTGAAATACAATACTTGTCATGTCATCAATGGATAAGAATTTGAAAATATTGGTAAATGTT